CATAATCACGCATTCAGCTTTTGAAGGGAAGAGAGGCTCCAGTTGGAGCGAGCAGCCAAAAAAGTGCACGAGATCAGTTCGGGTTCCCAAAGAGTTCCGGGTAGGAGACAAAGTAGCCAGTGACTAGATTCCCGGAAGGGGTCTGATGATCCTGCCACGTCGGACTGGCGACTCGGAGTTGATCCCCGTCAGCACAGGACGTCAGCATAGGGTGTCCCTCCGCCCGCACCCGATATTTAGGGGACTTAACGTCATAAGCTCAGAGTTGGAGGTCCGCCAAATAATGGGCCAGATTTGGGGGAGGGGGGTTGGAGAGTGGGCTGTTCTGCACCTATAGGGTGGGCTCCTATATTGCCTGGGATGGTCCCCACTCCCTTTCTGTCCATCCCCTGAAACCATAAAATCTTTCAATCGGCGCGAAGTGCCCAACCTGGCATGAACGTGACGTGGGCTTGAAAAGGAACCGCCACGGAGGCAGGAGACGCTACACTACCAATGGGCTGGTGGTGGGGTCGGTGATAGGAGTACCTTTTTTTGTGTGTGGACCTTGAATTGTGAATTTGGTGGGGTTCGATTCTTCGATTGACCCTGGCTGGAATCCTCCTCCTGCCTCTTGGGGTCTTCAAGGTCCATCCCCGATCCGTTCGTCGTGTATATTCTGTTCGTGGATGAATTCACACATCCGTTGGTTCCTGGGGTTCTGAGATTGCTCCTTCCTGGTGGTTACTGGATTATATATATATATATATATATATATATTTGTGTTTAAATTCTTCCACAAGATTTATTCTAGTAAATTTCTAGAACTTGGAGCTTTCATATGGATGAAGAAAATCTTCTTTTTGTGAGAATGTTCCCAATGGCATTTTCAACAAAATTAAGGTAGCCAACCCATTGTCAACCACCCTCCATTTCTAACTTATAGGGTGGGATATTTCTGCTAGTCCAACAATCTATTGTCAACCAATTTTTACATTTTGTGGTGGGAAATAGGTTGGAGGTCTAGCAGAAATAATATTAAATTGTGAGCAATATAAACAATTTCATGTACTTTAAAATTGATATGCATAGACTATCAAAAATCAATTTTTGCACTTGTGGAGTTGCCATCTAGAATTATCAAAACCTAATGTTGGTGAGTTGCCAACTAGAATTCAAACATGAATAATATTGTACAACTTCTTCTCATGTAAAAAAAAAAAAAAAAAAGGCATCGATCAATGTCAATGGCTTTTGGTGAAATTTGAAAAATACTTCATGTGCATGTCTTTCATATTTGCTCACTAGAAACCTTCAAGAGTAATGGTGGATTTTATTTTTGTTATATTGTCTTTATTTTATTTCGGATTTGAGTACCATGTTAATGCTGCTTCATGCTTTCACATTAATTGTACTATCTTAAACTTAATAGAATAAGATGCATATATGAATATTGTGTTTGAGTTATATCAGATTTACACAGTTCACATTTGCTCATCTCTGATGTTCAATTAATATTAATATTCCACTGTTTGTCATTCAACATTAAGTGGGATTGTAACTTGCCAATGCAATTAAGGAGATTATTTTAAGCTAGATGTAAGATTTTACTTGTATCAAAGATCTCAGAATAAAACTACTTCATTACACAACCTTACTACAATACATCACAGTCAGTATCTAACCATTTATTATTACTCAAAGTGATTTTAAATCTTCTTCTTATCACATTTGGACATTCTTGATGTGGTAGCAACAAAGCATTGACATGCCTTAATGATGGTCAAGTGTTGTTCATTAAAACTCAAGACATGATATATTGCAAGGTCCTCCTATCAATCCACACAAGTAGGTATTGAGAATCTGTGATAAAACTTTCTTACTAGCCTCATCTTGCGACTTCTCTTGTGACTTCTCTAGCACTCCCTGGTGGAAGTTCATAAAATAGTCTTTATTAAAAGTATTTTATCAGTACCCCTTTTTACTAACCCTTATTACTTCTTCCATTGTTACTGTCTCTTTATTTTCATATTTCATAAAATACAATCCAATTCTAGTAGTTTTAGTCATCACTACTTCTGGGAATCCAAGAATTACCAAAAAAATAATCCACAAATCATATACATATACACATACACACACTTTTTTTTTTTTTTTTTTTTTTTTTTTTTTTGTGTGTGTGTGTGTGTGTATATATATATATATATATATATTATATATATATATAATGATAAAATAAATAAATATGAAGATTATTAATGTTATTATTTCAAATTTATATGTTTTTTTTGCAGGAGGAAGCTCCAAGTTCCAACTATTGAGATGCAACACTGTATTTTGAAAATAAACTTCTGCATTAACCTTGGAGGTTTGAAGGATTGAAAAAATGAGAAATGCCACAACTAGTTATCAACCAAATGTTTATATATTAATTGAACTACATGAAATAGGTCTATTTTTGTATTTAATGAAAATCATTATATAATTAATAGTAATCAGAGGAAAGAGAGAGAAAAAGATGGTTCAAACCTCTTGCTTGGAAAGATGCATAGGTGTCACTAATGTTGCTCTATAATTTCTCTTGATCACTAAGTCTTTAGCAAGTAAAACTGTTGACTCACCTGGTTTTCTTACACTTTTCATGTAGATATCATACAAGAGCCTCCCAATTGCCATGTCAAACTGCTTTGGATTGAAGCAACTACCAGGGTGGCGTAAGCAAAGAAAAAAGAAAAAGAAAAAGAGGGTAATCCTCACCAAGCAAATGGCAGGATGAACATTATCCAAGGCTCTCATCACAAGCATCCTTTTTTCATTTTGTGCTCAATTTTATTTTATATTATACTTTTTTCGAATGCGAGTTGACCGAGTTTAAGGAAGGTAAACTGGTTGGCTTATTCAAAAGGACGAAGGCTGAGAAGGAATACAAATAAAACATAGTCTGAAAAAGAATACCAAAAATATCAGTTCTTACAGACAGTCATCACTACTGGTCAAAAAGAGTGATTTTGAGATAAATGAAAGACTTTGCCAATTGCGATAGCAAGGAAGAAATAATTGATGTCAAGACCCCCTCGTAAATTCATCCACAACGAGGTCCCCCCCGCCTTTCATTTCAGACAAAATGGACAACATTTCGTTTGTTTGTTCCCTCATATAAACACAATTAGCGGCACATGCTGAAGCCCTGTAACAGAGAGTAGTAAAGGGTGAAGAATGAGCAAAGTATGGAGAGACAAACGTCTAGAGAGAAATCATTTTCGTGAATATATCGCGCACTTTAATTAGTGTAGCTCGGAAAAGGAAAAAAAGAATCTGCAGACCCAGTTCTTTCTCATGACCAAAGATAGTTTCCATTGGTTGAAAAAGTAAATAGGTATTAAATGAGCGATGCACCCGTCACTTTTTCATGAAAAAAAAGGTTGGTTTTTCCCCACCAAATCTTACTTTTTTAAACGTTTTGTCGAAACGATGAGGGAATCATTTCTTCTAAGAGCACTATCCACTTGGAAATATGCAAAAATACCCTCGGAACTCATAAAAGCAGAAGTGGGTCTGTTTCAGGAAAGCCCTAGGGCAGCGCTAAGTACAAAGCAGCTTCTGTTAGGGTGCACAGAGAGAGAGATATATATAGATATGTATGTATGTATATAATTAACATTGTACACCTATACTTTAGCACCTACTTCTGAACATCTATCATTGGATCATTACTGCCCCCATCTCCACCTTTGACTTGGGCACCGATTCATCAGAATGCACGCTTTGAAGGGCAACAATCCACCTCATCAAGGTTTCAGTTTTGCCCCCGTCGGCTGCTTCTCAATTGATAAATGACAAGAATTCTTTCATCTACGAAGGTCGTATAATAAAAACCCACATCCTTTACTAAAATAAGCAGTGGTGCACAGACTCTTCATTAAGTAGTGTTGAGTAATTTGATTTGCTGGGGTTTTATGATGCGCTCCCTGACAGCCTCCCCCGATATTCAACCTCTGCTGCTCATGTCTCTTTAATTGCTTATTTCGGGACCATGTTTCCTAAAGAAAACCAGACAGATCCTTGTCATGGGGCTTTGATATATCACAGTATATCGTGGCTGGTCTGGCACCGTCAGATCTACGATCCGACGACCAGGAGGCTGAGCTAGTGCACTTGCTCTTCATCCTTTTGATACGGGCCAGCAGAGATGGGGTTTTTCACATGGTTCCAAGCTTTGGCACACCATGGAGCCCACTTCAGATGAGCCTTTCTAAGGCTCGAATTCAATTGGGCTACTACTCATTTCTCCAAATGGATAAAATGAAACCAAGCATGTGAGAAAGAGAGTATGTGGGTTATAAAGGATTCAGGGTTTAGGGGAGACAGCTCATCCTTCAGTAGTAAAGTGGGAGCAAGCCTGGCTTGTGTGACTGGAATTTGGCCCAAGGCTACTTGTGCTTACAACTGGAGAAAGAGGCTATTTTTGCACATGAGATGGGGGATTACATCTAGCATACCTTTGGGTAAAATATTGTGCACTGAAAGGATTGGGACCACACTGGAAATGGAGCCATGGGACCACAAGCCATGGAGGTGGAGAGATGAATGAGGATATGGAGAAGTAGCTACCCATCACCACCACCACTTGGGACAAATGTGATTGGATGCCTTAATGGCAAATCCAAAATCCTACTTTGTTTTCTAGAGCAGCCAGGGGACTTTTGTCAACCTCCATTTTTTGTTGGTTTTGGATTTTGCTCTCCACTTCTGGCTTGCACAAAGGGGGCCTAGAGAATGGGTTGAATCTGGGCAAGTAAGTGCATACATCATCTCTTTGGAAGGATTCAACTTCTCACTTGCAGAAGCCTTTGCATAAGGAGAAGACAGATCCAACTCTGGGACCACCATGTTGAGAGTGCTTGCCCCTTTTTCACCAGTTCTTTTTCACTCATGGTAATTGCACCTACTCCCAGACAATCCAGTTGCAATTGACAGATTCATCACTGAGATCTTGCCATTCTGAGAAGGAAATCGGAACAAAATGTAAACTACAACGGTTAATCTGCCCGTGATATTTACTTCAATTGTGGATGGGTGAAATACCCAAACACGATTACGAACATTGTTGGATGAAATGGAGCGTAGTCCCTGTTCAACTAGATCCGGGCATACGGTAGCGGACACAAGCTTTTCGAAAAACACCATCAGAATTATCAGTTCCTATTCGTAAAGGCCTTTTTTTTTTTTTTTTTTTTTTTTTTTTTCCCCCTTTGTTTCCAACTAACTGCTCAGACGGAAAGGAAACAAAAAAGTTGAAACACACCGCCCTTAATGATTGAGGATTCTTCTGGCTATGAAGCTCTCGTGGCTGCTTTTGCCACCGAAGCCTAGGCCGTTTAGATAGATTCCATGGACTTGAGACGCGGTGCAGAATTTTTCGCATCCATGATTCATGTTACGTAATGGACTCTCTATTAGAGCCCATGCTGTTCAGCTGAGGACCACACGATTCCAGCAATAGGAGGTCACCACGAAATCGTTTACGAAGGCTTGGTGTTTTAAGGAGTCCTGTCAGAGGAGTACTGGTCCTGCTTTTCCTTTCATGACACCTTCAAGACTACTGAAGAGGGTTGAACAGAAAATGAGACAAAAACTGTACACGAGAAGTTTCACATCTGAGATTTTTGTGACGTCATGTACATTTCATACATAGATGTGTAGCCACATGCCATGTTCAATTCTTTATTGATATGTTCTTCTGAAAACTCCACCTGTCCAATAAGATAAAATTTGCAATCAAATGTGAGACGTGTTTACACGACGATTGGGAAGTTCTTGTCCAGTTCAGACTTACAGGTACATAATTTCACTAGATCATCATCGATCTACATCCTGCACAGCGATAAGCATAAACGGAATACCTGTACAGCGAACAACTTGAAAAAATGTCGTACTGCAAGAGTTCAAACCATGTGTCAGAAAAAGTTGACAACATTTGACTAGCTGCTACCGAAATTTAAAATTCACCTGGAAATCCGTAGAAACTTAGCAAGATGAACTCAATGATGAACATGTTTGGCCTTCCTAACAGTCTCCTTTCGCCATCCTCTGCAAAAAGGAAAATTATTCGCAAACGTTGACATCTTCAACAAAATGTTCAGGCTGAAAACATCAATATTCCATGACATTAGAGAGCTCAAACATTCGATATGGGATAACCTGTCATTTTTGCAATCAAAGTTCTCATCTAGATTACCAGAATTAATCCGAGGTTTCACGGGAAAGCAAGTTCTTGATAGTTTTTGAGCCGCTTTGTTGCTGCAACATTCCTCGAGATACATTCACGATATGAATATCACATGAGAAGCATGCTCGTGCTGCTTGGAGCCCAACATGGCCAAAGGACATACATTCAAGGCTATCTCAATCCAAGGACGTTAACAATAACTATGCAGTTTAGCACAACAATATTGGTAATCTTGCTCTCCAATAATAATAGGAGAGCCCCGACATTCTCACAACATGACTATTCGGCACTTACGGCTAAGAGTCCCACAATATTTCCAGCTCTAAGTACGGAACTGCTCTGGCTAAAAACACTCACAATGACATGCGGGCGATTGCTACTGCAAGTCATGGGGTGGTAGAACTTGTCACCTTCTTCTGCTATTAAATCCTTTGGGCACCGAAGCCAAACAGCCTTTGGCTTCAGTTTAAGAATCTCCCAGTCCTATTTGATTTCTTTGACACTTGGTTTTCGATCCTGAATACACATGTAACACACCAAAAGCAACCAAAAATATTCTCATCATTTCAGCAGTGTGTCTAGATCTACTGCAAAATGCACCTTAACGAATCAAGAAAATTGCAAGTAGCTGAGCATGTTTCAATGCATAAGACGCAACAACGCTTTTAATCTCAAAAAATTATCCAAAAAGATCCATTCAACTTAAATCGGCAGGTACATTCCAATAAATGAAATCGGCAACGTCGTACTTTGTAATTCACGATGAATTTAGACATTGTGTAAATCGCCAGTTGCATTTTCATCTGGTAGAACCATAACATAAATATCATCATTTCTTTCACACAATTACGTGACATGAGAAGCATCACTACAAGCTCTTTTAGAAGAACCACAAAGCACCAGCAACTTGCAATTTGGGCATACTGAAGAGTCTCACCAGAAGATTTCCCATGCTCAAAGTTTGTACCCCCAATCTCATTCTGTTTCTTCGCCTCGGTCTCCTCAAAAGGCAGTTCAGCATCATCCCCTTCCGTGGCCCAGAAGCTGACGAACTCTGACTACATCTTAACCAATTCCCGCACGGCCAACGTTCGAAGGAGATGCGGTTTACGTTACTTGTCCCGCAAAGGGGCAATCCAGTTTACTTTATTTTGATATATTTTTACAAATTTCTGCAATAGAGCCAAATTCTAAACATGGATTCTGATCAGACATACATACGATCTCTTCACAGATAGCCGCTGGCTCAGAATTTATTGCTCAGTTGACAAGACCGAGAGAGTCATGAAGAGAGTAACACGCAGCACGTCATCATTGAGCTTGCTTATAACTTCGACGTGATCAGCAGCCCAGTACACCGACCAGAAATTCACTCCAAATTGACCCATGACGTTCAGACCTCGTTCTATTTTGCATCTGCTCTTAGAAAGCTGCACCAGATACCGGAGACAAGATTCTGCTCTACCTTGCAAAGGGGGAATAGTAAGCGGACGAAAACATTCCTTCAAAAAGCTGCCCAGGTGGGATCACAAAACCAATATTGTTCGAAACCACACACACGTCAGGTGGAGCTGTTGACTTTGACTTAATTCATACGTACCTGATATCACCGATTTGGCAATGGTACCAAGGTTCTTCTCGAGGTCATCCTTGGTCACGCCGGCTCCAGGGTCCCGAGTGGTCAGAACATTTTCTCCTGATCAAGCATGATCTGTACAATGCAAGGATTAGGTCGGTGCCATTCTTCAAATTGGGGCATGCAGGATTACCGACCAGGTAAGTCGAGAGCAGAAACTTTTTATTGTCTCCAGCTAAGGAAGATACAAAGAACAAATTGATTAAGCTTTTTAGAAAATAAATTAAATTGAACTGGCGACGTCCACTCACATGAGTGTCCAATGCAGTGTCACCACCTTCACCGAGGATCGTCTCGTCAGTGAGACAGAAAGCGGAGCTCCTCCAACGCCTACATCAAAAGATGTTACAGTGATTAATCAAACCTTTGCGCAAGGATTCAACTGTGTATCCGCGGCTCAAAACTTAACACTAGTATCAGCTCTACTTAAAAGACATCACAAAGTTACTTACCCGCAAAGACTTCGCGATCCCTGGAGAGTCACAAAAAAGGATGTCTTTGTTGCTATGCAAAGTACGCCCAGTGATGCCCGTCAGCCGTGAGAGCCCAGCTTGAACCTCGAACTTCTCAGCATGAATTGTAAGATACACAGAACTCATGAGCGCACTTCACCTGTAGGCACAAGCAGAATGTGTTCAGCAAGAATATGTTATGCCACGCATTGCATACTTCAGATCATGATACAAGCTGCGACTGTAACACTCACACGATCAAAATCTTCACGTGAATGCAAAGTCCAAGCCAATGACCTCCATATTGTACATCTTTACTACATCAAAATCAGCAGTGGAACCACAGGACACCGCCCCGGGGTTCTCCTTCAACTTGGGAGGAGTACCATGGTCCGGTTTTTCTTCCCTCCTGAGCACATGCCTTTCTCCAACGTTCTTTACGATAAAACCGCATAAATTTACTCCACAAATAAAATGAAACTGTACAATTAAGGTGGAAAATCCTTCACGATGCACCCATTTAACTCAATGATCATAACCGTCTTCGTCAAAGCAGAGCATTTGAGATAGAACACTGGAGCTGCACACTAGAATGGCTTCATTGCGAGTGTGGAATAATATGAAATTGAAGCAGGAGAAAGCATGGACCCGACCCTCGCTGAAACAGGCGAAAGGTTCCTATGGGCAAAGAAGACTAGTGTGGAATGATCTGTTCTAATAAATGTAACGATGGGTCTTGAATGAGGATTATCTACAAAAGTCACGCTTGACAATTCCAGCTGTCCACACAAACTCGCATGACTCCACTTTCTATGTGCATTCCAGTTCCGCGTTTCGATTCTCCAGGATCTGGTAACTTGACCAGAGCTTGATCCCTGTTACAAGGGACACAAGACAATGATCGAAGCCATGGTACTCAATGTTCACTGCGTTAAACGATTCCGGAGATGACTCATTACGAAAGACGTATTCACATAACAGTCGAAGTCAGCATGGTGCATGCAAGCGAAGTCCACTGCGACCACTACAAGTTATGACACGATGAGAAACGGAAACTCATTCGAAACTACTCACTGCGATAAGCGTGCCACCCACCTTAGCCTAAATAAAGGAAACACTGTAGAACCGAGACCTTTGACCAGAATTAAAACAACTGCCACCCGGAACACTACTCCCGATCCCATTACACCGCTTCTTCCATCGTCAAACACAACATAACATCACAGGCTATATTATGCACTATCCTCCTCCGGATCCAACACAAAGATCCCATCATTGCACGATTCTACACCACCCACGTTCCCAAATCCCACAGCTCGAGAGACAGCTACTACATCGTGCGGATGCTGAACCCTAAAACTCACCTCCGACATTGATCTACAAATACTGTATGAAACCCCATGCAGGTGATCCTTCAATGCTCGTTGCCATTGTTGAGCTTGTGGAAGGTAGAAAGAGATCAGCGCGCTGCGCAGCAGCAACGAGGTGGCACCATTGGTCCATGAGCTGAAGGTGCGCCGTGACTAATCGAGACTTCGTCAAGAAAACAGAAACAAATATAAAAAAAAAACAAAAACAAAAAACATCACAGCTTCGATCATCCTCTGCTCGAGACTTAGACTGCCACCCCGCTAATCTGGAGCCCGTGACGCCACGTACACAGCTTTGAGATTCTGGTGGAGATTCATTCTCTGCAACCTTTCTCGTTATCCGGAGCAACTACCGACCATTTGCTCGACGCTGCTGCACGTTGTCGTTGCCTTTGGCTTACGTATGCCCTAAATGGCATCAGCTTTTGAAGGTCGATTGCAAAACGATGTGGCATTGTGGTGTATTTTGATTCCAAATCCACTAGCTGACAAACGCTTATGTTGCTGCTTCCACTAGTGGTTTATAATTAATTAGTTGATTAGAAATTCATCACTAGTGGTTTATAATTAATTAGTTGATTAGAAATTCATCACCTTCTTGAGAAAAAGTGAAGTCAATTTTAGGCCCTTTTTGGTGAAAAATATCTTTTTTTAGAAACATCGATTTTTGGATATAGTATAAAGTTAAAAGAGGGCATGAAATGAAATGTATTAAATATTTCTAAATATGTCAATCCATATCTTAATTCAAATAACTATGCAAAGTATAATATATTAGAGTTTTAAGTTTTTATTTTATTTTTCTTTTCTTTTCTTTATTTTGGCATACCAAGGGTGTTACATACTTGGATAAGAGTTTTCCACCAAGCATGGAAGAGATTTCATTGGATAATTTAGGGACACCTTGGACCATTTAATGACTATTTTTAATATTTTGTATTATGGTGTTGAATATCTCATACTATATGTATCAAAAGCTATGACTTATCCAACTCTTAATTAAGATACTAGAAGTGCCTTCATCTTAGCTTCTGACACATTTTGTTTGCAATGAATGATGTCCATCTTGTTTTCATAACACATTCAAATTTTCTAACATAATATCAGAGTTAGATGAAAAGTGTCATACATGAATACCATTGGACAAAGTCTAGATGAAAAATGGATGCTTTTTATGCATAAAAACTTAGATGATCTGCCTATTGCTAGAGCTTTGTCCTTGCTGGAATGTTGTCAAAGTTGAGGAGCCATTGGAGTCGTGGTAGAGCTTTGCTGGAACTATAGGAGTTGTTGAAGCCCTATTGGAGCCTTATTGGAGCTGCTAAGGTTGGAGTTTAATTCTATTGATGCTGATTTTTATATAATTAAATCTCATTTATTGTTGGTGGTGAAAACAAGTTTTTTTGCTCCAATATAGCTTAATACTACTACTACTGCCAAAATATTGTATTTTGTAGATCATTTGTTAATTGTTTCTTAAAAGTTATTTGTTGCTATTGCATTAATTATATTTGGCAATGGCATCTTCGATAGATCATTATATTGATCAATTAAATGAAAAAAACCATGGCACATAGATATTTATTATGAAACATTCAATGCGCATTTGTAAGCTCTATATACATATAAACAAGACATTAAAATGTCCTATGAATATTGATGAAAATTAAAATAGGAATCAAGTAAAGCAGAAGTACAAGTATTGATTACACTCAATATTAAGCCTTTGCAATTCACTCATATACACAAATGTAATATTGCAAAAGAGATGTGGAACATATGGGCTAAGATCTACAAATCCTTAGGAGTTATTATTGAAATATTTTTAATGAAGAAATTATATAATCTTTGATAAGTGGATAGAAAATCCATGGAGATTTTTGTTTTGAGAGATTTTTGATCTTACAGATCAAAATGTTGAAGTTAGTGGTGAAACGAACAAACAAAGTACGACATTTTTTATACTTACCACATTACCAAAATCTTAGGATTCATTTATTTAGTCTATTATATTATAAAAAGATCACAAAAATGATAGTGCAATCTATTTTCCCTGAGGAAGAGATGTAAAAGAAAGAGAAGATTAGTTTTCTATTTTCTACTTTAATAATGAACGGAAGAAAAAAATAAGTCTTAAAAAATTACTATCTACAATAAAAATAGAAGCCTAAGTTTGATAAGTTTAGAAGTACTTGTAGGACTTCTAGATAGAAGGGACATTGATGAGGTGATGCAAAATGCCCTAAAAAAATAGCAATGGTATAGTTAATTTTGAAAATATTGTTACTTTTTCAATCCAAAAGATATTATTTAATTTAAAAATAATGATTGCATCATTGTTTCAATTATGACATTACATATGCATTGATAGTTCAATGGATGTATATATCGAAAGAGACAAGAGTAAGTTTCTTAATTTTGATGAAAATACGACTATCTAACTCTAAGATCATGATGGTGGTATTAGCAAATCACAAGGCTTAGGTGAGATGCATCTCATAATTTTAGACTCTATAGAAAAAATGCATTCTTTTGATTATGAAAGATATCGACTGATTTCTTAAAGCACTTAATACTTTATTATCAATTGCAACTTTATACAAGAAAGGTTGTAAATCTAACTTGAATGTCAATAGAGTTGATTGAATTTTATTTTTTGATAACTTACTCACACAAAGCATATTAGCAAATAAAGCTTACTTTATACCTTGTGAAATTGAAGAAGTTGCCATAGTTTCTAGCTCATCTATTTTAAATCGTACACTTATTGAATAACATCAAATATTAGCACATGCTTCAATGCACACAATAAGACAGACAGAGCAGATGAATTAAGTTGAAGGATTAAAGATTAAGGAGAAGAAAGATAAAATATCCATATATGAATCATGCATTATTGGCAAGGCCTATAGACAACCTTTTTCACATAAGCATAAGCATGCCAATGATATTTTAGATGTAATAGTCTCTAATCTTGTTTATTTTGATATGACTAACTTTGGTAGTGCCAACTAGTTAGTTAAATAGATTGATGAATATTTTGGCTATTATAGCCTTGTATTTCTTTAAATTAAAGACCAAATACATGCTGTTTATAAGACTTGAGAAGTAGAGGCATAAAAAAGAATTGTAAAAAAAAATAAAAACTTTTTTCATTGATTAAGGTACTAAATTCTTAAATAATAAGCTTGGTTCTCACTTTAAAGCAGAAGGTATTCGATTCATGATCACTTTTGCATATATACATGAAATTTTTGGCATGATGTAGATTATTTTTGAAGGAATACAAACACTTCTAGACAATACTAAGCTGGATCATTAATATTAAATGTTTGGAAGAAAATTTGTGACTTGGACTTACAATCACCTTCCACTTGCCAGACTCAATGATAAGATACTAGAAGAAGTTTTTTATAATGAAAAACCTTTTCTTCAAAATACTCATTTCTTTGGTTTTCTTACTTGATATTACATACTAAAAGAAAAATGTCAAAAACTTGATACAAAGGCAAAGAAGGATATTTTTTGGATATTAAAAAGTAAAAAAAAGATATAAAAATTTTCTACTTGAAAAGAAGATGATTCTTAGTCAAGATGTAATTTTTCATAATAACAAGATTGAGTTACTTAGTGAGCCTTTCACCTTTTAAGAGAAAATTTGAGAAGATATGAATCATAGAAATAATCCTGATATATTAGATTTCCAACATTCAAATAAATTAGAAATATCTGAACATCAAGCCTCAAGATTACATGGGCATGATGGATTGGATAAAGAAATGGTTGAAGGAAAAGCAAGGAAAAGCAAATCCTATATCAATAGAAGTAGTGGAATTCCATCAACCAAAAGTAGAAGCAATCATTGAAGCTCTACCATGAAGATATTGTTATGTACATGGCATTGATCCAACAAATATTATAAGTGGTTGTAAGATGCATTGCACGCTTTAGAAAAAAGATATATATTTTTTTTTTGAGGAGATTATAACTTGCCAATTGAAATAGTGCATGTGATTTATTTTGATGAATATGCAGAACCAGAGATTATTGAGCAAGCTATGAATTCATCTTTTAGCAAAGAATAGAATCATGCCATGACAGAAGAACTCAATTTTTTGAAAGATCATGGTACAAGGAAATTTTTATTTTTATCCAATGATAAAAAGGCTATGGATTCAAAATGGATTTTTTTAAAAAAAAAAATTGCTAGTGAAGGCTTTAGTAAATATTTTAAAGCAAGATTGATTGCAAAGGCTTTTACTTAAGTGAAAGGTCTTGATTATTAAGAAACTTTTGCACTAGTTGCTCGCCTTACAATAACTTATATATTTGCTGTAATTGTTGCTATCTTTAGTTAGAATATGTTACAATTTGATATTATTTTAGCTTATTTAAATATCAAAATTTAAAAAAAAGATATTTATATGAATATTTTAGAAGGTTTAGGAGTTCCATAAAAACACAAAGGCAAAGTCTTGCAAGTGCTAAAGACTTTATATGGTTTGAAATAATCTAAACATGGATGGAACAAAATTTTGAATAAATCTTTATTAAATCTTCATTGAGAGCGCTCAAAAACAAACTCTTGTTTGTATACAATGTACATTGAAGGATCAATTCTTGCACTAATTATTTTTATTAATGATGTATTTATTGGTAGTAAGAACTTTGAGATCGTTATAAAATTTAAGGATGAATTGCAAGAGTGCTACAAGATGAAAGACCTTGGTAAAAATAGTAATTTTTTTGCATTGATTTTTTGCAAGATAAGAAAAATGGTACTATTAATTTGAGCTAAATTAAGTATAAAGTCGAAAATTGGAAGAATTTGAAAAAAAAAGATTCAAATGGAGTAACTACATTAATAGTAGAAAGTCATGTACCATTTTTCTTATCTTGCAAAAAGCATGAGAATGCTAATTTTTTAGATGCAAAAGGTATAAATCTTTATTAAAAAGCTTTAGGTTTATTATTATACCTTGTAAATG